AATATAATCAGTTATTGTCAACAGGGACGGAAATATAATCGGTTATTGTCAACAGGGACGGAAATATAATCAGTTATTGTCAACAGGGACGGAAATATAATCAGTTATTGTCAACAGGGACGGAAATATAATCAGTTATTGTCAACAGGGACGGAAATATAATCAGTTATTGTCAACAGGGACAGAAATATAATCGGTTATTGCCAACAGGGACGGAAATATAATCGGTTATTATCAACAGGGACGGAAATAGAGGACGACGATGAGGCAGACGATGATCAGGACGCCATAGACTACATCGACGCTGAGGACGGCGCTGCGGTCTCCAGGGCGGTGAGTGACTCGTAGCGTTCTTCTAAAGCCTTAACTCTTTGTTGATTATGAGGCATTTGAGTACTGATTGTATTGATCACGGTCAATGATCAATCGACGCGTAATTATCCTTTGTCTACTGACAGTAACTTTAGTTACCTGGCCTTTGAATAAGAACTGCATTTAACATGTTTAATTATCCAGTAGGCAAACGGCAACAGTTTTCTACAGAGAGTAAGTTTAGTTACTAGGCCTTGGTATAGTTATTTGATTTACCACGGTAAATGAATCGGAAAGACAAGTGTTAATTCTGCCAACATGTAGAAACAGATTCCATACTCCCGGTGTAGTTAAGGGTTCCATTTTTCCGTTAACCGGTTGGTTGACTTTATAACAATGCATGCATGACCGATTATTCCTGCAAGGTAGTGACATTAATTGCCTTTTTATTTTGGCTTGTAGTTGTTCGAAATAGTTAATATAGTATTTTAATTAATTAATTAAATTAATTCTTAAAATTTATGTGTTTTAATCAATTAATCAAAACTACATTTGCTCCATGTAATTTGTAATTTTATTCACTTGGATTGATAACCGCAAACTGAATAATAAACCAAACCGAAACCGTTAATAAACCGAATAAACGAAACCTGGTTTCTGATTGAACAACTTGATTTTAAATTTGAATGATTTTCAAATTCTTTTAATTGCCGTGTGATGATTGAAAGATGATGTGATCTACAAGTGGCTACGTGTGCTCCATCAAACATATGTACAGTAGATACTAACGTACGCATGCATGTCGTCTACAAGTATACGCGAACATTACCGCTGCCTCTCGTAGGTACATTGAAAAGTTTGATTCTACATTTTTTCATTCGTGATCCTCTTCAAGACTAACATATATATGTACTAGATTTATATAATTTTTTATTAACTCTTCATTTTTTATTAACTCATATAAAATTTGTCTGATATAACTGGTCTTTTCGATACTTCTCAATATTACTTATCTAAATCTGCCTCTCCGTTGTTGTCAAGATTTCGTTGCCCGCATGAACTGAACCTTAGCGCTGCCTCTACGGCGACCGAACGAGTCTCATTGTTCTGCGATGTTTGCTGATGAATTTAGTTTACTTGTACAAAGCTATTAGGTATTATTTTGCCTTTTAAACAATCACTAAATTTGTATGATGACTCAACGAGTTCTGTTTGTTTTCATTCGTTTAACCTCCAATTGCTGATATCGATTGCAATCCTTTGTCTTCCCACAAATTGCTTCATTTCTTAAACAATTCCTTGAGGCAGTGAATTTTTTCAGTTCATATTACCTTAACTTTATTTTGCTATCACCTTATCGATGCTTCAATGCACAATAAATATTTGTTTGCTGACCTTATTTAACTTCACTTCAATCATTATTTAATTATGGAGGATATTCCTACATTTATCTTTTGTTAATTTCGCGATTCCCTTCAAGTTTAATATGTGACGATAACTCTATTTAGTTTACAGGATGACATTGACGCATATTCCTTCTTAATTATAAACTACAATAGATGAAAGCTTTAATATGGGTCTACCTATGGAATATAAGTTAATGAAGCGGCAGTAATTCAGTTCTCAGAAGATGGCGATAAGGACGCTATTGCCGGACTGTTTTCATGCTCCCTGATTTGTCACTCGAATTGCATTTTCTTAGCTAAGTTTTCGCCTGATAAAAATATCACTTTTCTTCTGGGATAGAGTCACCGTAAACCTTAGGATGTTTCTTCTCTGCCGTTATTTCCTACTTTTCTATACTGTACATGCACTCTTTTTTTCTACGGCTTCTTCTTCAGTCCATCCGGAAAAAGAGCCACACAAGCTTGAGGCGCAAGTCTAGCTCTTGGAGGAAGGTAAAGACAAGCGCAATCACTCTTAGAAAAAAACGGTGAAAAAACGGTCCCACTGGCGTTCCAGTGGCCGGTCGTCACGTGAAAATAAACTGTTTCGCCGTTTTTATCAGATGTTTTACGGATTTCTAATGTTAAATTAGAATAAAAACGGTGACACGGTTTTTCTTTTCACGTGCCGACCGGCCACTGAAACGCCGGTAATACCGTTAACGGTAATTTTTCTAACAGCGCAGATCCTTCCTCCCGACCTGCCATTTACTAACTTTTCAATTTTATCCCCACTAATATAACTGGTGATGCGACGATGACCACGAGTGTTTTGAAGAGACATTTCTCCAGCATGCGCAGTGTTCATGCACAGGATTTGAACTTGTGAATGCGTAAATGAACAGAATTGTCAGCTGGTTTATGGTAGCTGCGTGGACAACGCAGATTAAATTGGAAATGATTCAGGTTGATTAGTTAACATATATTTGAGAATATATTTGTGTTTTTAATGCAGATCATAATAGTAAATCACAACGGCAGGCACGTTGTGTAAGTGTATGCATCGAGACTAATTCTGAGTCATCGGGCAACGAAATTAGTTTCCTAAAGTCACAATTGTTAAAAGTCTTAGATAAAATACTTTAAGAATTTAGAGATTTTAAACTTCTTGGCGCAAGTGTGAAAACAAGTTCCAAGCTCGTACCTATTCGTAGATGAATGCCTACGAGGCTTATGTTTTTAAAAGTGTAGTAAATGTTGCTCTATTTAAATTTTCTCGTTTCGTTGACCGGATGAATTCCGCGTTTTACGAATTTCAGTTCATGTTCCTGGATTGTAGGAGGCTGCGCTTTGGATGTTGTCACCTAATCATTTGTCACTTCCCGGCATTTTGTAGCTGAGCGCTGCCTCTCACACTGTCTTTTGTGTGAGATCTAATAAAATAATAATTACTGTCAACATTTGTACTAACTGGCGCATCATTTTTCTCTAAAACGCGTTTTAAAATGTAATTTTAGGTTTTGTTGCCGTGCGACAATCCAACGGCGTACAAGTTTGTAGCTTGATCACGGCCATTAATGGTTTCCATACTGACAACACAAACACTGTTTTCTATCTTTTTTTTCTCTTATTCTCTATCTTATTTTTCTCCCTTCTCTTATATTTCTCTTACTTTTTCTCTTCTATCTCTCTTATTTTTCTCTTTCTATCTCATTTTTTCTCTTACCTCAGAATATGGCTGGTATGAAGGCAAGACTCTTGCCATGTTCTCTCTCGCATAACGCGTGTGTAGCAGTGATTATAATCACTGCTATAATTATAAAGAATATAAAGAATCATATAAATTATATAAAGAATGATTATTCTTGTTGACTTGCAGATTGATTTCTTGAAATCTTCCTTGACGTGTCTGGCCTCNCCATTGATGGCTTCCATGCTGACAACACATACACCGTTTTCTATCTCATTTTTCTCTTACCTCAGAATATGGCTGGTATGAAGGCAAGACTCTTGCCATGTTCTCTCTCGCATAACGCGTGTGTAGCAGTGACTATTTTTGTTGACTTGCAGATTGATTTCTTGAAATCTTCCTTGACGTGTCTGGCCTCGAACGACGAATTAAAGGTCGTAACGAAGGCCTCTATCCTAATTTAATTAATCTCTTTTCGGTGGCAACTCTGCTTCTATGCCTAATATTGTGGAGTGTCCCAGAGAACATCCTCAGAAATTTGTTTTTAAATTTGAAATTCAGCCGTTAACAATTTTGCAATTTTTTCTTCAAGATTCTCTTTCCTTTGACATTTCTGCAGTAAAAACTGAATCCTATTCAAAAAATCTTAAATCCTACTCTCAATTGACAAATTTGTTATTTCTTAATACGAGAATTGAGGGTACGACCTTGAGTCGGAGATGAAAGAAAGTTCTCTGGCTAGAAAATTCGCAATTTTTTAACTTAATCGAAAATTCTTTTGGGTCACTTTTATTGCACGAGCATCGTTCGCTCTTTTGGATGCTAACAGTTGCTTGTATTGCACTAACTCCTTGTAAACGCAGGCGAAATGTTCATATTGCTTGCACTAATTCCTTTGTAAATCATACGATTTGTTTATACTTCTAGCACTTCTAGCACATTCGTGAGCTCGTAAAGTTTCAGCCCCACGCTCCTTTAGTCCTGATATGCCTTGAGTTGCGCCTTAAGTCTTGAGTCTGTAAAGTTAATTTATCATTATTGGCAAGCATTTATGGCGAGAAGATTGTATTCTTTTCAAGAAAATAAAATATCAGTTACCAGGTGTTTACTAAAATATCTGTACAGGGCGACAACGGCTCGATTTCGGAACCTAAGCCTTCATCAGAACGTGTATCCCGGAAGTTGTCGAGTCGCAAAGTCTCCTCGAAAGTAATCTTTGTTTTTGTGTGTGGGGCATTGTATTTGAGTGTAACTTTTAGTTACGACGGGTTAAATTTTGTTGCCTCTTCCATCACTTTAATATTCGTAAATTTTGTTCCACTTTAAATAGGAAACTTCAATTCATTGCGAACCATATTCCGAACCATTAAGTTTAAATTTTATTGCTGTAGTACCTCTACAAACGACGGTTTTTTATGAAAGTAAAGATAAATATTCTCACTTCTAAGACAATTAAATTATATTTAATGAGGTGCAACTATAAATGAATTATAAAATATATTCTTATCTATCATTATTAAAAGAAGGTTGTTCTGTATTTTAACTTGATCCTCGGAATATTTTTACGGAAGTTTGACTGCCAGCCATAATGTATCGGATTATGCGTTTTTGGAGGGTTTTTATATATATTTCATTGCTGTGGAATTTCTAAAAATTATATATTCATGTAAAACATCGGTGCTTCCGTTTGAGCATAAGCCGTTCATTGTTCGTTCATGCAATGTTGTTTGTTTTTGTTGGTTATGCATCATCTATAACTTAAGCTCTTGCAGACATGCAGCATTCATCATACATGTTACCAACTATGAATGATCTTGCTTCTTGTGAATGTCCGTGTTCTTAAAAGCTATTCCATAAAATTTAGAATTCGTTCATTTTATTTGTTATGCTTTCACTTCACGCTTTGCAGAAAACCCTAAGTTATTCCATCGTGTGATAAAGCTATTTAAAAAAATCATTTCTGGCCAAGAATATCAAAGCGAATAAAATTAATGAAATATTTACAATAAATTTTGGTAAAATTATCTTGGAAATTTCTTTGCATTCCAATAGTCTGTTAATTTTCTATTTACGTAAAACATCGATATCAACATTTCCGATTGCTACTGAATAACTTCAACATCCCTGGCTTGCTTTGAACTAAAATTTGTGGGGCTCATTGCTTTTTTTTTTAAATTGAGCAATTGCTCATTGTGGGCCACAAATGAGCAATTGCTCATTTGTGGGGTCAATTGCTCATTGAATGGAATGGAGCAATTGGAATGGTGGGTGTGGGAGGCCTTTAAAAAAAAAAAAAATTGCTCATTGCTTCTCTTTTTCGACTATCTTACACTAAGAAAATAAACGACATGGGTAAACGTGTGCAATCTGCACCTAATATTTGTTTCTTGGCAGAAATTATTTTCATGTGGCTATATTTAAAACAGTTTTATTGTGTTGAATTATCGAGTGTTTTCTTGCTTGCTTTTTACGTGTTGTTATGTATTTATATGCAATGGTTATCATATTTAACCAAACATAACTTTACCAAACGAATCTTTTTAGACATGCGTTCTGAATTAATTCTGATACAGCTGAAGAAATCGAATTAATGTTCAACAAAATCGTAACATGTACTTATCATATTAATTAAATACCACGTATCGACAAGTTGATGCACTGATCTCGAAGCCTTTTATATAAATAATAAATACTAAGTCGTTTTTGTGTTGAAGTTGAATTATTTTATGGTGCTTGTATAGTGTGATTATTGAGCAAAACGATGTTTAATATCTAGTCATGACAGAGATGTAGAAAATTAAGCAAACATTTACTATAATTAAGATTTACAGAAAAATTAGCGTGCTCCAAATTGAAGTTTTTTCAGGGACTATTTAACATTTAAATCTCAATTAGAAAAAGAAACTGAACTTATTTGCAGCGGCAAGTTGTATTTATTGTGTATATTCTATTCGTGTAGTTATTTCACTACATTTATATCACATTTTTTAAAAGTACAGACGAATTTGCTTATTGTTTCTGCGAATCTAGCATTACGAATTATAATTTATTATTTTTAATAAATTATAATTCTTTTATCATATATTACGAATTATTTATTTTATTTTATTTATATATTACGAATTATTTTGTATACGAATTTACGCTTTTTTTGCTGCTGCGACACAGAAGCAACACAAGCCGATGGCGCCGGAGCTCGCTGAAGTCGTGAACGTCTGTGAAAGCAAGAAGTTCACATCCTTTGCTACATCGTTCGCCAGTGGTCAGTATTAACTATTATCGTATATTATATTATACAATACTAAACTATATTATTTTATATTTTATAGCTGTTTTCGTAATGGGTTAGCGGTAATTTTTTCTATCATTACGATTATTTGTGTACAGAAATAATTTATTTTTAGCATAGACGTCATCTGTTTTTATCCTCTCGTGTCTTTTTTAGCCACTTGTAACGTGCCCTCGAAGTTCGATCTGAACGAGACGCCACGACAATCTCTTCGTGGAACAATAATAATAATAATAATAATGATAATAATAATAATAATCACGCCATAGTTTTATCATGAACAAAATCAAATCTAAACAGATTTGAAAGCCATAACAATATAGCTGGAAATATCACATATTTGAGAATCTTTTCGACTTCTTTTTAAATGTGATGCATAAGTTACGATGATTCTTGTTGAAACTTCGTGAGGGAGCGTGAATTTTTGCGAGGGGAGTTTTGTGTTCCGTATAAGCTAACTTTGAAAGCCCATGCGTCGTGTCATTTATTATATGACAATTGCGCTTGGTACATCATAAAGTTGCAAGTTTTACGATGATTCTTGTTGAAACTTCGTGAGGGAGCGTGAATTTTTGCGAGGGGAGTTTTGTGTTCCGTACAAGCTAACTTTGAAAGCCCATGCGTCGTGTCATTTATTATATGACAATTGCGCTTGGTACATCATAAAGTTGCAAGTTTTTAGATGGCGTGTGTTAATCATCAAAGTTCATGTTAGTCATCTCAACATCAAGAAAGTTGAGATGCTTGTGGATTCAACGCCAAATCATTGCATTATTAAATAATTGTTAATCACCAGACAAGTGTGTGCACTTCCCATCACTGCGGGAGAACAAAGCTATGGACTTGTTCGAAACTTACCCCAATGAGTTCATAAAGTTCACGCAGCGGCAGATTGCTAAGATCTACCCTCTCGGAACCCGCACCGACTCTTCCAACCTGAAGACTTACCCCTTCTGGAGTGTTGGGGCACAAGTCGGTTAGTGAATTGTTCTTAAGCTTCTTATTCAACCTCTTCCAACCTGAAGACTTACCCCTTCTGGAGTGTTGGGGCACAAGTCGGTCAGTGAATTGTTCTTAAGCTTCATATTCAACGCTCAAAGTGAATCAATCTATCAAATAGATGAATATTTTTTCGTTTAAGTTTAAAGTAATGAATTATTTTTTATTTAGATTCTCTCTGAAATTTGTTCTACCGTGTTTTTTTTCCAGTACGTTGTATGCTCAGCTGCTTTTTTATTGCCTTTTTTTAATATTCAACATGCAAATTTGTTAGTGACTCAACTAAATAGAAACGCAATTTACAAACCCAGCTGTTTGAATATTGCAATAGCTTAAAATAAATCGGTCAATCTTTCCGGTTATTTACTACATCATTCATGCGTCAAGCCTGCAGTTATAGAAAATATTGGATCTGACTCATGAATTTTTTCCGACGTCGCATGGCAACTCAATCTAGAAGATTTATTTGGGATCTAAGAAAGTCGCACGAGTCTAAGAATGCGGAGGCTAGGGATTTCATTTCGGACTTCTGTTGTCGGAGTTTGAACGTGTGCCACAGCTTACCGTGATATGCGAACGTGTTTTCAGTGACGCTCAACATGCAGACGGACGACAAGCCGATGTTCTACAACGAGGCGCTGTTCCGTAGCAACGGAAACTGCGGATACGTTCTGAAGCCCGCCATACTCCGCGGTCTGCAGCCCTACGACCCCAACAACCTCGGTCCTAAGTAAATTCTTCCTAATTCTGTTTATATTTTTAATGAAAAATCCGAAATAAAAAGGTAACTAATACATCAACTGCGCTCAGTTCATGCAACAAAAATTAGCGGTAAAAATGCGCGTCAGAACTGCAGTAAAATTGACACATATTTGTCGCGCAGCACGATGAAGGTGCTGAGAGTGACGATCTTGAGCGGCCAGCATCTGCCGCCGGCAGAGAAGAAGGGAGACATCGCCGACCCCTACGTGCAGCTCAAAGCCCGAGGACATCCTGAGGATAAGCAGAAGCAGCGAACGAGCACCATCAAGAATAACGGTGTTACTCAATACTCAAGATTAGCTTGATTTAAGAACGGTATTGTCATTATTTGAACGTGATCGTCACAGGGTGGCCCAGTGGTTAAAGTTTAGAGTACCAGGATTGAAGCAGAGAGGCGCGGGTTCGATCCCAGCTCTGTGCGCCAGTTTCTGGTCAGAATCAGCGAGGAGGCCGGGCGGTTAAGCAAAGCAGAATTGTAGCAGTGAGTTGCGAGTTCGAGACTGCAAAATGCTGTGAATGTTCTGCGATGTTAAGAATCGGCGACGGGCCTACGGCCTACTAAGCGCTGAAACCGCTATTATTATTAATATTATTATACCTGGGTCATTATAACGGGATTATCATTATCATCAGCCAAGACCTCTACAATGTGAACCTCATGAATTGTCTTAACTTGGAAACCGGCTTTAATTAACGATGGTTATCACAGCAGTTGCGAACGCCATCTCAGCATAAACAAACTCGATGGTTTATTGAGATTTCAAAAACTTCGGGTTTTGGAAAAAATATATACGAATGGGGAATGAATGATGGAAAGTAATAATTAGTTCTAATATATTTAAATAACGAAGATTGAGCTTTATGACGAGTGCATCTTAATAGGGGTGTTACGTTACAGGGTTAAATTATCTTAGCATGGCTCCTGTTCATAATAATGATTTTAATGGGGTATATATATATATAATATATATACCCCAATAGACGTTTGATCTTATTATAATTATAGGGTACTATAATTAAGGTATTTTCTCCGAATGCATAAAACTGTGCAAATTAACTCTGAAAGCAAAAGCTTTAATACAACGAAACTGGCCACTACGTCATACTCCACCGTGTTATATAAATCGTTGGTTGAATACGAAACGTGACTGGTAATTAGGGAGGACTTCATACAGCGTGACTGGTTGTGACGGAAAATAACATGCCACGTGACTGGTAGTGACTTAGATTAACATACCAAGTGGAAGGTAGTTACGTTGCCAGACTGGAGGTCGGTATTGACAGATTGCCAGGTTCTTGATAAGCTTGGGGCACAATGGATGAGAGGGCAAGGCTTAATTCTCCCGAGGTAATGAGCTGCTGGCCATTGTATGAGATCCTCCAAAAATGGCTCGGAATAAAATGCCTCTCACATTCTCAGCGAAGAAAAGACGTGCGAAATACTGGCGCTCGGTGTCTGCAGCTCTGGCATTCGGGGACTTGAGTTCGGGGAAGAATGTTTGGGAAATGGAGGCATTTGTCTTTTAAATCAAACAAGTACGGATGAAATAGTACATCTAATATAGCATCATAATATAGCATCACCAGCTGCAATGAAGGTTTTGACTCGGACAATGGAATTGACGCTCTTTCCGCATTTTCTTTAAAATTTGGAAGTATCAATATATATATATTTATTTATTTTGGCAACTTGATTAAATTTAATTAAATTAAATTTTTATGTTTCTAATTTTTCATTTGCATAAACTGAATTTTAATTATAAAGAAAAATTTTGTGTAATGATTGCATTTATTGAATTCTTCAAGTGCGATTTAAACCTTCAATAGGCAAAATTTGCAAAAATTCATATAAATAAATATATTGTACAATACTTCTTACTTTCTTGAAATGGTTTCTGAAATTTTAATTTCTGGATATTCAATGCTTGCCCGCTAAAGGGTTAAAGAACGAAGATTGAGCTTTATGACGAGTGAATCTTAAAAGAAGTATTACGTTGCTGGGTTTAATTATCTTATCAGGGCTCCTGTTCATAATAATGACTTTAATGAGGTGGTGTCACGTTACAGGGTTTAACCCCGTGTGGGACCAGACGCTAGAGCTTCGCCTGAAGGTCGCCCCCATCGCGCTCATCTACTTCAGCGTGCGCGACGAAAGCTCCATGGCCCGCGACGCCGTGCTCGCCCTCGCCTGCATACCCTTCACTAGCCTCCAGACCGGTACCTAGTAGTGAACATTTGCTCAATGTGGTGAACATTTGCTCAGAATGTGTCAATGTGGTGAACATTTGCTCAGAATGTGGTGAACAGCCTCCAGACCGGTACCTAGTTGTGAACATTTCACCACATCAGAATGTGGTGAATATTTGCTCAGAATGTGGTGAACATTTGCTCAGAATGTGGTGAACATTTGCTTAGAATGTGATGAACATTTGCTCAGAATGTGGTGAACATTTGCTTAGAATGTGATGAACATTCACTAATGTGTTCATTTTTTGATGTGGTGTTCATGCCTTGAATTAGTGAACACTCACTGATGTAGAGTACATTCTCCGATTTATTCATTTATTGATGCGATGTACTACACGCATTGATTTGATGATCAATCGACGATGTGACGAACATTCACTAATGTGGTGTACATTTGCTGATGTTGGCTTTATAGGCTAATTTTAATATTTGCTTTAATTTCTTTGCCAAATTCAATCATAGTCGCGGTGGATCAAATTTACATGAATTTGAATTTGTTAACATGCGTCAGAGTGGGCTAGAATGAAATATTGGTTAATAAATTATTTATTTGATTTCATACGGTATTTTTAGTTTATATTGATAAAAACTTCCTTTCTTTCGATCAAATGTGCGAAAGAAATGGAAATGAAAAACGCCCATGTTTAAAATAGAAAGTGATAATTTCTTTCAAGTTTTCTTGAGTTTTCCTATACTGCTGCCAGCTTTGAATGATACAGATACTTGAGTCTTGATTTATTGTGTTTTGTTCAGGTTACCGACACGTTCACCTCACGGACATCACGGGCAAGTCCCTCGCACCGTCCGCCCTCTTCGTTAAAGTCGCCATCTCAGACTCCTGAAGATGATTAGTGAACGAACCAACGATGTAAGAGTCGGATAGTGATGCGAGTGCTGGGTAGTGATGTAAGTGTCGGGTAGTGATACGAGTGTCGGATAGTGATGCGAGTGCCGGGTAGTGATGTTAGTGTCGGGTTGTGGTGCGAGTGCTGGCTAGTGATGCGTGTGATGAAGTGTCGTGATTTAGGAGGCTAAGAATTCACACACTAGCGGAGGTCTTTCATTCTAGATAAGAGCTGGAGTTGAAGTAGGCAAACTGCTTCTCGCAGGTCAGCAAAAATACTGATGAAAGAGAGTTGAAATCGACGGTTAGATAATTGAAAATCTTGCTGTTGAGCGCCAGCTTCCGAAGCCATCAATATGTACTCTACCCAAATTAGTCCCATGTGTTTACTAAACCAAAGGATTATCTGTTGCTGAGGTAGCTAGCCTATCGTTTGCACATGAATAGGAAGCTAGATCATGTTCACAGTTTTGTCTTCTTTCACTTCCAACGAAGAATTGATAACCATCGAGTTGTTGGCTATGAAGTCAAAAACTGTTAATATCTTCGTTGTATTTGTTCATTTTTTAAAGGCTGGAGCTTTGAAAATTAGCTTTTAATTCACACTGATGATACGCTTGCTATTGTGCAGTTTGTATGTTGTCGCAGCCGCACAAGCAATACACCAATGAAAATACTCCGTGCAAATGCTTTGGTCCGTTCCTTCGTTTCATTAACTTAGCGTCATCTTTCAATTTATTTTATCATGAATATTAGTCGTATCAGCCATCTGTGTTACCGGTAGCTTGTTATTTCGCAATTTTCTATGGTTTCATCAATCACAACGGCTTGCACAGAATCTAAACGCACAATTGGATATGTATTTTGGATATGTTGGAATTGGATATGTTGAATTTGTTTTACAGCATGCCTCGATGTCTTGAATAATCATTGTTAATGTGCATTTCAATGGCACTGCACATGCTGGATAAAGTTTGCAATTTGATGTGCCGTAGATTGTTTTAAGAAGAAAAGAACTTTTAACTCCAAATTTGATATTAATGACTGTTTACCTAGTCCGGGCAAATGCGATGGAAACTACGATATCTGACATTTTTCCTAAAAATTTCCGTCGTTATGATGCTAGAAAAAGTCTTGAAATTTATTTGTTATGAATACTTGTATTATTTAAGCGATAAATGTGGTATTTTTATATAAAGGCATGGCTCATAACTTGATGAGAAGAGGTAATTTCTTATTTCTATGTAATTTTTAATCGATCAAAAATCAACATTTCCAGGCAGCGCATTTTTAAGATATTGACACAAATTTTGTTTTCGAATTATGATCGGAATGTTTAATCAGCTTTAGTCAATGGAACAATAATAATATTCGTTAACAATTGTTCTGGGCAATCAAGATAGAGCGTGATTGAGCATCTTAATGTTGAATGTAATCAATGTTCAGGATCGTCATGATACGATATAAATTAATATAACTGATTCTAAGCAAAATATACAATAATAATACTGTTCCATCATGGTTGCCTTGGTTTATAGGCTTCAATACGAGCTAATAAACTTATATTATAAGTAAATAGACTACGTAAGCGTCTTCCCGTTTCAACGGTGCAGCTGTGACTGATAATAATGTGGTTGGTAAAAGCAAAGAGTTTCATATTTATGGCTATTCACCTCTTTACTGCTCACCACGCCTGTTAAGCTTTATAGTATCTACGAATTAGGCCGAAAAAGCCGTAAATATTGGTAATTTTTTTCTGTTGCTGCATGAATACCTAAGCCCTTTTCAAATTTTGTTTACCTAATACTTTCGGGACAACTAAATAATTTAAAGCGGATACAAAAAGGTTGTGCAAGTAATTAGGTACTAATATAACGGTAGTAAATGAAAATAAATTAGAAAAGTAACAATGCACCGGTACTGGTATACAGGATGCAAACTATACGCTTTTGACACGCAGTCTCCCCCGGTATTACGTAGACTGATGTATGAACATTGTAAGCCAACGTGTGCTGTGTGTAACTTGTGTTGGTGAGAGCAACAAAAAGCGATTTGTTAAAAAATGGGAAATCTTGTTGATTTTATGAAGAGATTTATAATAAGCTTTGCGTTACTACAAGCGATATGCATAAAGCTAGAATAAATACCGAATGAATTGTAATCGATATTTTACACTACTACTACTATTAATAATAAGAGGTTGGAATAATCTTATTGTTTTAGCGCTTAAATAATAGAAACGCACAATGCGATGTGTAGCTTAAGCTTAGTTTACTCACGCTGCTTTAGGATGATGAAGCCTTAACTGCCTTAAGCTTTAGCGATGACTTTGTGGGTCAGCTGAAACTATAGTAGATTCATCTCAGCTGAACCCACTTATTGCAACAATATTTTAATTTTATTTTCCGTTGTGTTGAATTACACACATAAATTAATTTTAATAAATAAGAGATTGTTTCACTGGTTTTTAACCTACTCTAGATAAAGCATAAATATGAATTTAATTGAGAACAGAGCGCCGGTCGCCTGCGTTCGAACGAAACTTCACGACAGTCACGTGGTTGCCGGTCTCTCCTGCAACTAACAATGAAAATTTATTTCGAGAAACCATATATTGACATGTACACCATAAGAGTGATATACACGAATAATGGTAAGAAAAAACTGTTGAAAATATATACATTTTCAATTAAATATGAATAGATGGAATGCCGATACGATATCCGCAGCTTGCTTTGTCAAGCCGTGCACAGATAGTGACAACCATGAACTCGCGGACCTGAGGAACGTCAGGAATTTCGGTTAAAAAAAGCATGTATGTGACCATCTGGTTACTTATGTACAGTCGTTAAGGGAGTGGCAGTTTGTTCTTGTTGCAGTCGTCACACGCTTACTTTATGCGCAAAATTGTGAAATTCAATAAAAAATATATATACCTATATATTCAACGCTGACTTACGGAAAAAGTGGACAAGGGTATCAAACAAGGTTGACGCTGTGACTGCAAAGCTAATTGTGACATGGCAGCTACAAAGTGAGAGGTAATCCTATACTAATCAATCAATCGTTCAGCATTAGTAAAAATGTTTGGCACAGTTCAAACCAATATATAGATATAGCTGAGTTAATGCGAAGGAACAGCCGTCAGGTGTTCATCTTTTGCGCTTAGGTTTTGCTTTCTTCTTGCGGCCGCGCTTCTTGCAACTGCCGGTGGCGGTCGACACTGCGCCTGCTGTTGACGAGGTGCCTTTGCAGCTGCTGCTCGATGCCGACTTAGCAACGCCCCTGCGACATACCGACAAATATTTACTGAGGTGACGATAAAATTATGGCAGAAAAAGAACTGAATGATTGCTCAACGGACAGACTAAAGGTAAACGCTATTTAAGACAAAAAGTTATGCAGTAGTAAAAATTGTTCGATTTAAATGTCTCAGTCATATGATGGTTCAGCAAAATCATCAAGTTCATCTACTCGTGCTTCGACCCTACGGATATCTTAATTCACTTAAGCGTTTGAAAACACGTTGCATATTGTTATACGAAAAGGACACTGTGGAAAACACAATACATTTAATTCGTCCCAGCCAGTGAGAGAGAACAAACAATAATTTTTCTGACTCTTTTACGCTCTTCAGTACACACTTCGCAAAAAAAATTCTCAAGAAATGCAGAGAAAATCTTTGCATGACCTTTTGTCCTGAGGATACACAAGTTGCTTGGTTTTGAGGGCTNAATAAATAGTATAGCATAGTCTATTATATTATATTTTATTAATAGCAAAACCGGTAGTATTATAGTAATATGCGTTATCATACAATATACATTATACAACCTTTGAAAAAAAGTCATTCACCATCATCTGAAGTCATGAATTCACTAATAGACTATTTATCAAAAGTAAGTATTTCACCACGGACTTGTGAGCAGCGAGGGTGAGCAGACGCTCGCTGTGCAGGGTAATCTTGTCAGGCACGACGGCCATGAGGCTGAAGCGAATGTCGTGGTAAGGCTCTCCGTTAGCGCGCCCGCCCAGCCTGGCACCTGTCTCTTATACACATCTAGATGTGTATAAGAGATATCGTTAGACCAGTGGTCGAAGAATCATCAGACCAGCGATCTGAGGACCGCTAAAAGTTGTGGCCATAAGACAATTGATTGATAATCATTAATATTGCCCTCCTAAGAATGAATCGTCAGAAATTTTGCTGCAATTCAGAAACTGATACACAGGATTTGAATCAAGAGTTGTGTATGGTACGCGATTACCATACACAACACACACGTTTGTCACGGAGTCAAATGATTGAAAATGTATTTTAATAGAACACATAAATTTTTAGATCATGCAGGTCATTATGGCCAATAAAACCTCGCACCTTGTATCGGACGCGCTTCTCCTGCTCGTCCTTGAGCAGCATTTCACTGTTGTCCGACTCAACGTCGATGATGGCGATGAGCTCCGACAAGAGCGACATACAGCGACCGTCCAAAACGTTATCTGCGGTAATGCACAAACAATTTTGTCAATCGTTTTGTCCAAACTTACGAAATAGGCTTTGTTCTGGAGAGTTAATAAACTGTGCGGACTAGATATGAATAAATCAATTTAAATTTTGAAGAGCCCATAGAACTCTCTCAAAATGATCTGATTACAAACAAATGTTATGAAATCCGTCAAAATATTTTATCGTGTAACATATTTTACAACTATCACGTGACCTAGAATCTGGCTGTAGCCTACCAACAAGTTTGGTGGGAGTTGGTCTTACCTGTGACATTGTTAATGAAGTCCAAGTCGAGGCAATGGTCCAGGGTTGGGTGAGCCGAGTTCAGGACAGGAGGCAGGATGATTTTCTTATCGCAACCCTTATCTTTGCCTTCTTTTACATCTGAACACAATAAATGAAAGTCAGTACTTGATTTGGGAAATTCTCTCACGCTTTTTATGAAGTTCTTTCGACTGTAGTCAGCATAACTCATTATCATTTGTACTGATAGGTGTAGGATGATAGCTGATTACAAGAGGAATTGTTTTTCTCCTAAAATATTAGTTGGATCATTTATTGGCATTCCCTTTTTGGTCAAATAAAGTGACATAGCTAGCAACTTCCCTCCCAAAAAAGCGGTAAAAGCAGCATATAACAGAATAATTTTAAGGAGAATCCGAGGGAATCAAAAGAACATTATCAAGTAGACACTAAAATCCGAAGTCATTGATGCTCTTGTCAAGGTAATTTGCATGTCTTTACTTTGCGAAAGAGTAAGAAAAGTACATAAGAACTAGGGCAGCTCGACTTCAAGAGAAATTAGTGACCCTAGAAGTTGATTATATATTCTTACAATACGCGAGAACTTACCTTCAGCTGCGTCATTTGAATTTTTGTCCATCTGAAAGGAAATATTGACCAAATTAATAATCAAAGACGACATAATTCTTATCACAAAATTTGAGGAAACACTTGCATTTCATATGATAACAAACTGTATCTCCAATAATATATTTTCACAGCTTTTGCTGCGCAAGGGCAAGCAAATTCAAAATGAATTCCAATTCAACCCAGTTCTTTTACTGAAACTAAGTTCAACTTAAAAATATAATAATTGACCAAGTTGTAGATCATATGATTAGATTAGTAATATAAACAAAATGGTACATCTGAAGAGTGATCTGAAAGACGAACCAAACGCAACAGAGTGGATAAATCAACTCACCTGCCCTGAGTGCTCCATGTCGTCAGAATTGGACACAATTCCATGAGCAGCATCTGCAGTAAGACCAAAGCTAGAGACAATAGCAAACATGCGGGAGAAAAATAGTGCTCATACAAGATAACATTTAAGCATGGATGAATGGAAGCCAATAATCATCTGGGCAGAAATCAGATCACTGGAAGCGTAAATATTTTTTCACGAACTACCATGACTGAATTTAGTTTACTTGCCACATTCTTCCAGAGTCTCCCCCTCCTTTATGTTCAAGTAGTGAGCGCAGTTCTCCTCGACGTATCTCTTGAAGGCGTCCATTAGTTTTTGTCTGAGGAAGTAACAACAATTGTTAAACTTTACTAGGGTAATCATTAACGATTCAAATAGAGAATAACTGCAATTTATAGCAGATGTTACTGGATATATATGAATATCATACATGTAAATGAAATTCTTGTACCATTGAAATACATAGTACAGGCAATGAAAAACTGTAGGAAGAGATGATACGATTAGAGCTGACTTCATTGAAATGTAGGGTAATTCTATTCGAGGGATCAGACGATATTCTATAGTACTGAAGAATGGAAGCCAATACATTACCTGAAAATGTTTCGTAAATATTCATTAAAAGTCATTCACTATAAACTCAGCATCATGAGTGTTATTTTAATACCTTACATTATACTATAATTAATAAATAGTATAGCATAGTCTATTATATTATATTTTATTAATAGCAAAACCGGTAGTATTATAGTAATATGCGTTATCATACAATATACATTATACAACCTTTGAAAAAAAGTCATTCACCATCATCTGAAGTCATGAATTCACTAATAGACTATTTATCAAAAGTAAGTATTTCACCACGGACTTGTGAGCAGCGAGGGTGAGCAGACGCTCGCTGTGCAGGGTAATCTTGTCAGGCACGACGGCCATGAGGCTGAAGCGAATGTCGTGGTAAGGCTCTCCGTTAGCGCGCCCGCCCAGCCTGGCGCTGATGACGCGCCTGAACTGCTCCGTCCAGTCCTCGCCTTCTTGCCACGGACCTGGGGCCATACTTTCAAAATTCGTTAAGTGAACGTAAGTACTTACGCTCTATCTTCTTGTCTATGATTGGTGGATTTTGCTTGAAAGACCGTCTATGATTGGCTGATGAACTTACGATCTCATAACTTTTTTTGAAAGTATAGGAGCTGAGAACGGTCCTTCGAGTCAAGTTGGACAAGGATATATGATCCTTTGTGGACTGCCATGTGCAACCTAATTAACAATAATAAGCTGTTAGTGTTCTGTCAAGTTCAAACTGCCAACAACACTCCGTGAGTTAACTGTGAAGTTCAAGCTGAGAACACTAACAACCCGTCACTAACTAGTTGATTTGCTGATTTACAGCTCGCCAAAAAATAAACCAGAAAAAATCACGAGAGTAGAGAAAATGTTTAAATATTAGCTTCGAAATCAATGAATTCAGTAGATTTTCTTAAAAAGAAACTAATCTCTGAGCATAGAAGAAATTTAAAAAATTGCCAGGATTACTTCATAAAAATGGAAGACAACATTTAACTCCAAGTGAAAAGCATGTAAATCACACGTAAGAAGCACGGCACCAACTATAGAGTTCATGTCTCAATTAAAAGCCGCAAGTCACGCTGTGATCAATGGCGATGAAATAAAACATTCAATTTTTTGTGAGGAACACTTGATGAAGAATGACAAGGAAAAATTAGCGTGAAGAAAAATCACACTTATAACTAATATATCGAAAAACACCACGTCACGTCATGATCAATGACGATGGAAGAAAACATTTAATTTTAGTCAAGTACATGTGCAGAAACACGACACCGCATATATCAGTGCATCAAAAGACACCATGTCACATCATGATCAATGACGATGGTAGAAAACATTTAATTTTAGTCAAGCACATGTGCAGAAACACGACACCGCATATATCAGTGCTTCAAAAGACACCATGTCACACCATGATCAATGGCAATGGAAGAAAAAATGTAATTGTAGTCAAGTACATGTGCAGAAACAAGACACCGCATATATCAGTGCATCAAAAAACACCATGTCACATCATGACTCCATGAGCAATGACGATGGAAGAAAACATCGAATTTTAGTCAAATACATGCGCAGAAACACGACACTGCATATATCAGTGCTTCAAAAGACACCATGTCACACCATGATCAATGACCATGGAAGAAAAATTAAATTTTAGTCAAGTACATGTGCAGAAACACTACCTACACCGCAAACATATCAGTGCATCAAAAGACACCATGTCACACCATGATCAATGGGGTAAGGCTTGAGTCCATCGAGCTCCATAAGAGACCCGCCAATGGGCACATAAGACACGAAGTGGAAGGTCTCGTTGGTCGGGAGGACGACGTCTGGCCTGTGGTGCTGCGTGGGCGTTGTGAGCGTTCGCCAACTCGGGGGTGTTGCCTATTGCCCAGCCCTGGATGAAGTTCATTTATATTTTTAAATCAGATGCAGATTGTATACGCCACTTTCTCAATGTGATAACAAATTTCTGATAATATTTTGCACGAATTTACTGTGTATGTGTATGCTTCAATCCTTTTTCACAAAATATATATAGGTTAAATTTTTTAAAATTGGTATAATTTAACCTAAGTAGATATTGATTTCATATAAAATTAAAAATTTAGATGTTATCAGATTTCAACTGATAGTTGAATAGGCGTTCCATGCTGAACGTAGGTTGGCATGGTAATATATATTAAAAGGTACAATTAATAAAGTATTAACTGGATTCAGGATGACGAGATTCATCACGGGTAGGATAACCAGTTGCGGGATAACGGAATTCAGGATTGCGATATTTTCAATTTGCAGGAAATTCTGGGGTAAGCTGCTATTTATGAATATAATGAAAAACATAAAATGCTGTGACACTAGCACAGAATTCAACTATCAAGTGACTCTTGATTGAAAAACAAAACTCACAATATTAACCCTACAGCGGTCCCGTGCAAAAATCGTCCAAATGAGTATAGCCTCTACAGTCGGTTTTGATACTGAGGAAATTCGTAGGGCGACCACTGTAAGGTTAAGATTATGAGAAAAATCTGCAACAGGCTAAAAATTGGTAAAAAAGTTAAATAGATGCCCACGGAATGTGTATCATTAGTTGTTATAGTAATAACAATCAAAATATGACTTCAAGATAATTGTTGTATGTATGCATATAATTGAAAGTGGTGTCCTCAGTACTAGTTCTTCTCAGTAAGACAATTTGCTGGCATGTGGCAAGTTCAATCTCACATTTTTCTAGTTTTTCATCACAGTCAACAGCTTTCTGTCTCATCACTTCATTTATTGTCACTGATCTTATAATAGCTAAAACACTGGTATACATTTATTCAAAATATAAGTAACGCCTCAAGTAAATTTGATTAAACTGCCGAATCACTCATTTATATTCCAGAAACGTGGTTTGATATTCTAATAACTAACTTTGTTCTCAGGTGTCATGGCAACTGTGTGGGCCTTGAGCCGATCCAGTGTAGCACCCAAGTCCAGGTGAGGACAGTTCAGCAACACTGACACCAACGAGTGCGTGGCACAGCTGTTTGGTACCATCTGTTACAAGAAAATATGACTTATTACACAAATAATTCAGTGTTGTTTGAGATTATATGTGAAAAGCTAGACTTACCATACAGATCAACCATGTAGGTTAACTTGACAAATTGATCTATAGTTACACGGGAGTGTAGTGCGCCACTACGGTAGTAAATTGCACACCCTAGTTGCCAACAACACTTCAGCAGAAGCGCAGATGAAATAAAATGGTATTCAGGATACCAAGGTTACTGATGGCTGAAATGAGGGCAGCACTTGAATACATTTTGTAGATAATCATGACAATAAAAGCGTATCTGATACAGATGTCTAAATGTATCAACTATCAAGTTGAATTGCATGGTTGGTTATTGTGACTAAACTATCAATAGCAAAAATCAGCAATACCGTATTTCCAACCAGAATATTAAAATGAAAGTAATTATCATTCTTAAAACAATGAACATCAATTATTACAGGGCTCAAAAAACAAACATACTTGTTGAGCAAAAAACATGTTGTTGACTATATTTTCATCAGTTACATAGTTGTCAGTATTTTCCACTATTTTCCTCCTAGATCTTCTTTCTTCAATCCACCTGCAATGGATAAAAGACTTAAAATTTGAAGCTATTCCATAGAATAGAATAGAAAAATTATGAATTATAAATTTGTGAGGCCTGAGAAGCCATTATAAAGTAGGTAATCATAATGAACACAACTAGTAAAAAGATTCAAATAAATCTGATTTTATTTTTCATGCTCCCATACAATCATACAATAGAGCCTTACACAAAAAAAAGAACATTAGGCCATGTTAGATGAAGTGAACATGTGAACAACATCACCATGAGTCATGGTGATGTTGTTCATTGATGATGGGTGATGTTGTTCATGGTGATGTTGTTCAAAGATGCATTTGACTCAAATGTCATGGCATGACATTTGAGTCAAATGCATTTTAGGAAAGGTATGACTTTCTCATAATGGAACACAGAACATTAGAAGAAAATTATCATTTAAATGAAGGTTTTTTTAAATTCGCCTCTTGAACATAAATTCATTGTCAACAAAATAACAGCTACACTTATTTCAATGTCAGCTTCCAATCTACAATTGTTCAGATTAAAACAAAATCATTCAAGGTATATGAAGTGGATTAAACTTACTTGAAAAGGAAAATGAATCCTAGAACTTTTCCTTCAAAGCCTTTCTGCAAATCATAAACCTCTTCAACTTGGACCCCACGAACACCCATGTCCTCAAGTAGCAGAGTGAAGAGACCTGAAATGATGAGAAAATTAACACTTTCATAATGATGTTAATGTTGGTAAAACATTCTTAGCTAGACATATCAACAATATACATACTGTAACAATGAATTCTATGGTAAATTAACCTCTGGTTAACCGTAACATGTTATTGACCACAAAATGCATCAAAATAAAGATTGACACTAAAAGTTACAATATATATGCATAGTATGTATGCCAATTGAAACTTATAGCTGGAAGTTGTAGTCAAAAACATTGGCCTAGGTATTGACAGAGGCAATCAGTTGATGATTTAGTGATAAATAAAATGAATTGTGCTGGTCAGCTTACTCAGCTAGACACTTCAAATCAAAGTATTCAAGACATAATCAAAGTATTCAAGACATAATCTAGACATCAAAGTATTCAAGACATAATATATACATATATAAACCCCACAATCTAACCTCAATCTGATGTATTTGAACCTCATAAAAAATATCTCATCAATATTAAAACCAATAAATTTGTATTATAACTCAAGGACTATTTATTACGTATATTCTGAAATCTGATCCAAAGCACTAAGCTTATTTTGACCAAACTCTAATGTATAAACATAAATAATATATTCAATATAATTACAGTGATTGCCATTTTTCCGTATATTATACTCAAAGGGCCTCAGTGCAGGATGGGTGCCTTAGCTATAATATTGTGATAACCAAAGAGTTGAGCTTCTGTAGTGAAGTTGCATGGCCACTACTATATGGCCATCACTACTATATATAATTATACACTACTATATACTTTGTAATATTATCAGCCATACCTTGGTGTCAAGATAGTGAAATGGATGAACATTGGACGTCAATACCTCATCATTTATCAAAATTTAAAATTTCTGGCCTTCTACCACTCTTCATTATCTAGACCAATATATCATATCAGTTAATAAATAATTTGAACAATAAGAAATGAAGAAAAATAAATTTTAGTGATTGAAAAGTGAAAACTCTTACCTGGGTCACTTTCCAATTCCAACCAGCCATCTGTTAAATTATTTATATCCACAGGCATGTTAAAACCTTGTAGTTCAAAAATATTCTAGAATAAAAATCTTTCATAGAAACCAAAAATGCTCTGGAGTCTGGTCACACAATGAAACATGCATTGACAGTTAGTCCAGTATAGTGTCATAAACATTGTGCATGGCAGTGCCCTAATATAAAGTTTATAAAGTTGGCATTGCGTTATTTGTGTAACCAAGACTAGGTTCTTGGCCAAAAATTGTTGAGGATTTTAGGATTTGTTGCCAGACCTAACATAGCCTTCTGAAATTGTTTCAAAAATGAAAAAAGATTTACAGAAAAAAAATGCTTAATCGTGTACCAACTACCAAGTTAATTTAGACCTGCTAGATTTCATAGCTAGTTAAATTAGGTATACCTATGATATTAGAGCTGCAATATTTCAGAAAAAATTATGACTTTTCCAGCTCTGCAATACAATAGGCACATCATCACATCACATGAACATGATGGACTGGCTGAGGACCCTGAGGTGAGGTCCTAACTCCTTAGATAGACATAACTTGGAAACTTGCTAGTTATTTTTTTGTGTGTGAATTGCCAGAGCCTCTGAACTGCTGAAGATTAGTCTTATGCAGCCTCAAGGCAGTGTTGTGAGCTATAGTTGCCACTTGCCAGTTTCTCTGAGTTGGCACTTAAGCACTTTCAGGGAGGGGGGGGGGACAAAGGGCATTTTAGGGCAAAGACCAGTCATAGTCATTGTGTCTCCTCAGACTCTCAGCTTTGGGTGAATAGCCTGATGTAGTTTCCAAGCACAAGGCTGCGTGCCTTATGGCTGTGGCGTTGCACCGATGTGGCATATAACTCAGGGAGTCAGGGTAAATGCACAGTAAAGGTAAGGCCCGTAAGGGTAACTTTCAGGAATAATAC